GGTTCCAGGGGGCCAGGTTAACAGTAACAACAGAATAGCTAAACACGGAAGGAGACAGTAAACCAAATCAGGAAGAACTCAAAACGAGCCTAGAAACGAACATTTCAAAGCACATGAATCGTAGAAAACAAACTTACGGTTACCAGGGGGGAATGGGGGTGAGGAGGGATAAACTGGGAGTTCAAGATTTGCAGATACTAACTAGTATATATAAAATAGATAAACAACAAGTTTTTACTGTACAGTACAGGGAACTATATTCAACATCTTGTAGTAACCTATAATCAAAAAGAATATGAAAATGAATATATGCATGCATATGTATGACTGAAACATTATGCTGTACACCAGAAATTGACACAATGTTGTAAACTGACTATATCTCAACTAAAAAAAAGAATGAAAGAAAAATGAGGCTCATTTAAAAAAAAACCACATGAATCAGATGCTAGGAAAGATGGTTAACAAAATCATTTGGAACATGAATTCAATCCAGATGAAATTATTTTCATCAAAAATCCTGAAAAAAATTAGGAGAATAAAGATACCCGAAAGGTAAATGATGACATACAATCCATGGCAAATAAACATGGAATTATGAAATAAAATAAGTAAAAATGAAGCAAGGATATCTGATATAAAAGCTGAATAGAAATTTTAGAAACTGATAAATTAGAGATAGAATAAACTAGATGATAATAGAAGAGGAATCCACTAGGACCTCTTACAGAGAGACAAGGATGTACAATATGTGAACAAGCAGCTAAATGAAATGAATAGATTAATAAGCATATTCTACTCAGTGTCTTCTGGTAGGTCCAGAAGAAGGTAATATAAGGAATTTTAAAAAAGCAGCACAACGTAAAGAACTAATAGTTGAGAATTTTCCCAGAATTGAAGAAAAACATGAGTTCTTAGAGCAAAAGTGCACTGATGGACCAAGAAAGATGAACAAAAAATATAACCCTATCAGGACACACTTTTTCATGAAAATTCAGATTATAAAGGTTAAGTGTACATCGAAAAGCCACTAATGAGAAAAGATAAAATCCCTAAAAAAAATTTAAAAGGCGAGAAGATGGTAACCTTTTAACAGCAAACAATAGAAGCTAGAAGACAGTGAAGTAGTATCTTCAAAATGCTGAGGGAAAAAAAATTGTCAATTAGAATTTTACCCTAGCTAAACCATAATTAAAAAGGGAGGGCAAAATAAGGATAAGATATGCAAAGACTAAGCCTACTACCCAGAGAACCTTGCTACAGTAAAATATATAAAGGATGAACTTCAACAAGAGTGACTCCAGAAGGTGCTGGTATACAAGAAGAGCGGCTCACAGAGGGTACAGCTCAGTGACAGAGTGTGTGCTTAGCATGCACAAGGTCCTGCGTTCAATCCCAATGCACCTCCATTAAAGATAAATACATAAGTAGGCCTAATTACCTAACCCCCCCAAAACAAAGAAATTTTAAAAAGTATCAGAAATTGATAAAACGTGTCAGAAAACCTAACAAACAAAAAAATCTATTTTACATTTTAAAAAGAAACTGTTTACTAAGAGTGACTTACTATAATCAGCGGAAGGAGCTTCAGACAAGTGAAGTGGTTTTACAACACGCTAAATGTTATGACAGAGGTATGCATGAGACGCATCGCATAACTCAAACATGTGGGACGCTATCAAGAAAGGCTTCCTGAAGGAGGTGACTGCTGAGTTGAGTCTTGAAGAACAGCTATGAATTGGTTTGGCATTAGAGTGGAGAAGGGGAGGTTATCGGTGGTGTTTTGAGTTCAACAAGGTGGTGATGCGTGAGCATGTGAGGCAGTGGGGTATAGGGTGGGAGGGGGCTGGGAGAATGTTGAGCATATTAGCAAAAAACAAATATATCGTGGGTCTGATAGCATAAGAAGAAAGAAGCACTGAGAGGGAAAAAAAGGGCTGTAGGACTAGAAATCTCCATGTGACTGAAGAACTGAATAGTGGGACAGAGAGAGCTAGAAGAAGAGCGAGTATCAGGAACACCCTTCCTGATGCTCTCTACCCAGTGAAATGCTACCCATTTTTTAAATGACCCAATTCAAACCCCAGCCACTCTGCAACCAGCAAGGCCTGAAGAGATAGATTTCTCCTCGCCAGAACCATGATCTCTAATTTGGCACATAATCATTCACCATCTCAAATCAATAGCTATCTTTTTATGGAGACTTAATAACCCCTTTAGGGCAGGGGTCCTCCCAGAACCCTGAGCTAGGCTTACAAAGTGAAAGGTAAAGACTTACTGACTTCTTAACAGGACCCACAAAGCCCTCATGTTCTGGCCCCTGACCATCTTCTCTTTGCTACTCTACTCTGTCTCTCCACGTTCCAGTCACACTAGCTGTCATTCAAACCCACCAATTTCTTTCCCATTTTATTTTCCATGTGCTCTTTTGGCCTGGAATGCTTTCCCCCTCTATTGTTCACTTGTTTAATTCCTACTCTGCTTTTAGGATTCAGATGCCATGTTACTTCCTCAAAGAGGCCTTCTCTGATCTCTCCCTGCTATACAATCTATCATGGCATATTTCTTTGTGACTTTATTTGTTAATGCCTCTGTCACCAGACTATTATAAGCACCAGCTTACCAAAGATCATGTCCACTTTGTTCACTATCCCCAGAGCCTTGCACAGTGCCTGGCACATAATAAGTAGTCAATATACGTCTGCTGAATGATGAAAAATTCTAAGGTCTCCAGAGGAGCCACATGACCTAAGTGTCAACACTAACCACAATCCTGTTGGTGTTGAGGGTCCTGAGATTCACCCTTCAGCTGGATCTCCGTGGGTTGAGGCTGGAGATATGTTGCTTCCTTAGGTGGATCCAGAGGTACTGATGTCTCAGAAAGCACTTCCTGTGCACAGGCCTGGGTTGAAACCTGAGGACAAGGAGGCTCACTTAGGCATCTGAAGGGCCTATAGAGTAAATGATCCCCCGAGAACCCATAAAGGACCAGCATGGGCCCCCTCCCAACTCTCCCCTCACTGAACAGAGGGCCTTTTCCTACCTGCTGGCCTGGTTCATCCAACTGCCTCTCCAGATCTTCCAGCACGGCCACCGCCTCCTCCCTGCTCTCTGGATGATGCTCCTGTACCCAGGCCTGGAGCTCCCTGGGCAGGATGGTCAGGAAGTGCTCCAGCACCAGCAAGTCTAACATCTGCTCCTTGGTGTGTATCTCAGGCTTTAACCATACACAGCAGAACACCCAGAGCTGGCCCAAGTCCTCACGGGGCCCAGGGATCTCCTTGTAGCAGAACTGTCAGAAGCATTGGCAGAATAACTCCTGGTTGTTTCAACTGCTCCCTTTTGGGCCAAATCGCTGACCCCTGGCAGTCCCCTTTTTATTACTTACTATGAAGAGCTCCTTTGGCTCTTCAGGAACTTTTGGAAGGAAAACAGCAGCCATTCCCACTCCAGTGGGCCAAGAAGAGGACTGCTGCTATGAGCGTTACCTTTTAGGGTGTACACCTAAGGTTACAGAAACCACAGTTTAAAAATATATATATATGTATACATACATATCAAGCGAATTCAATATTTGAGCTCATACACTAAGTCTAATCTTTCTGTTCTAGAAGAAAAAGGAGGCTCAACCCAAATTAAAGAGAATTCAATGAAGAATTTTTTTTTTTAAATGTAAGGCAATTGAAACGTTTTTCCAAGTAGGAGAAGGGATGTTTGACCAGAGACAGCATTTTGGACAATAACGGGAATATTGTTGGATGCTTGCTTCCTCCAAATAACACCAAGTATCAGTTGATAAGGCCAAGCCAAGTTTATTCTTATGAGCACTAGAGAGCACTACTTGGACAGAGTCTTACTAGAATCTCCCAGGGAAGAAGGCAAAGTCAGGATATTTATGAGGTTTTGGGGGTTTAAAGCAGATCTTTCAAAGCAGAATAAGGATTGGGCAAGGATCATGATGCAATAGTTTAGGACTGAGGGACACAGCAAGGTGAAGGTTTTGAGTTGAAGATTTCAAAAACTCTAGTCCTATCCATTGAAAGCTGAAGAGTTTGATGTTCCCATTAATGGACTGAGGGGCAAGTTCTTGAAACAAATATAATTATTTGCAACTTTTGTCTTCCAGGGCAAGAATTTCCTAGAATAGTAAAGTTATGTTACTAAAGAAGTTGAATAGTGGGGTCATATTTAGGGAAGACTATCGAATAGTAAAGTCATGTTAGTGTAGGTATGAGGCTGTGTGAGTGTAGATGATTCCAGTTTTCCATGTAATTGCAGACTTAAGCAGGGCCGATGGGTTTAAGGAGACGTGGACTACCATCTGACCAGCATGTAGGCAGTGGTTAAGGGCCTAGGCTGTGGATTCCAACAGACCTGGGCTTGACACCTGTCATATTTTCTTATGTGTGGTGGCTCAACATCTCTAAACTTCTATTTTTCCCCTTTGTAAAAATATCTTAGAGCTTTTAAAAACTTTTTATTTTGAAATAATTTTAAACCCGCAGAAAATTTCCAAAACAGGTACAGAACAATCCCTATAACCTCACCCTAATGGTAACATTTTACATAATCACAGAGTGATTACAAAAGGAAAATAATATTGTTACAA